GCATAAACAGCATTACGTGACGTCACAACCATTGTGGCGTTTGCGAGATAGGTTTCCTTTAGTGGCTCAATATATTAAAAATCTTTCCTTTAATTGAGCAACAACCCAGTGTTATTGTTTGGCAACAATGCGAAATTGCATACTTTACATAATTAGTTCCTGGTTTAACTCACTTAAAGCACTTTCCGCAATTGTTCTTGGCACTCTGCATCGGGGATGAGTGCCTGATGATGTCTGATAATGGACCTCTGCTGTTCTTGAGCTTTCGTCACGTAGCTGCTGAGCGCGTGACAATGGGCATATTGCCTAATTGTGACCTTTGTATAGCATCTCTGCCATTTTCCATGTATTCTATATGCGCAACCGCAGGTTGTTGTCAGCGCTCGGTCCTGTCGTCACCTCATTGAACTCTGTGACTGAAGTACAATGTAATTGTCAAACTAACAAATTTCTTATTACAGTTCCATTGTGAGGAATGTACTTCGTCAGCACGTCACCTCGGTCTGCGGTCATGAGTTTCAATTTATGTCATTAATAGGTGGTCATCTGTATCAATTATTTGACTTCTATTGTCAAACTAAACTTAATGTGAATGATTTTCATTTTATTGTTTGATTCAGTAGTGGAGACACTAAGTCAGTGCGCAGTCAGTTAATCAGGTGTTGGAGAGCATAATTGCAGGTTCTGTCATCATTGTCAATCACTTGATCTAATTTAAAAAGCATACTATGTATGTTTTCCACTGATTCACTGCAAATTGACTGTTATGAACGAAAAGAACTTTGCCATAAAACCATAGTCCTTAGTGTCCCTAGCTTAAATCTCAGAAACCCATATGCATACAGACGGACATTGCCCGTTTGGAGGGTAGTAGCTATTTGTTTATCTAATTTTTTACAGCTTATGTTCTATTATTGTTTTTTTAATTTTTGTTATTCATTTCTGAGTTGTCTTGTGAACTGTTTTTAGTCTTTTTTTGGTATTGTCCTTAGTGAATAGGATTTGTTTAAGTTCTATTCAAACTGCGAATTTAGTTTAAGATAACGTCAAAGGAAAGGAGGCGAGATATCGTTTAGAGCGAGGTATGGTGGCTGAGAAACTGGTGAAAACAATATAGGAATATTAAGAGAATTGACTGAAATAGCGGGCACACCAGGAAGTACGTGTGTGCAGACGTCTGAAGGACAAATACAGGAAATGTCTCTCGGCCAATGGCGTGTTGGCATAGTGTCTAAGAGGTCTGCTTCGAACTCCGGAGCAGCCGGGTTCGATTATGCTTAAGGATGATCTTAGTCTTATTCCCGAATTCCGTTGAGCAAAGAATTTACCACATTGATTTAGACTGGGGTTGCTCAGTCGGTTGGACGTCGAACTTAGAACCAATATGACCTATCGGTTCTGAGTTCAAGCGCCGGTCTCGTTTAAGTCCTTCCGATGGTGATAATGAGTATTACTCTGTGGAAAGGCTATAGACTCTGCCCTCAAAATAAGACATTTCTGTCTGATGGCTTAGAAGCGGAGATTAGCACCTCACCATGAACATCCTGAAAAAAAGTGCCAAAATAGTCGCCATTAACGTAAAGGATGATCGGCATGCCCGAGGTTGTAAACTTTCTCTTTTCCTCCTGTCAGCCAGTTTAGACAACAAAATATGATATTTCAGTCGTATCATGTCGATTGACCAAGAAAATGAAATCTTGATTTCGTTCTTATCATAGCCAAAGAGAATTAAAGGAAAATTCAGATAGAG